TCAAGTATTAGATTTCTAAGGTTTGAGTTGAATTCGGACACATCAGTGTTAGGAATTCTATAAACTGCACCCACAGACAGGATAGACTCGGCACCCTTGACTCTGAAGCTGGCGAAGATATACTCCCCATAGCAGTCTCTAGTTCTAATTTCTTTTAAGCATGTTAGTTCTTGGTGGTAGTAAAGAGCAGTGCCACCACCTCTCTGAAGTTGACGACAGTTGTGAATTGCCGAGTAGTTAGGCATGTTAAAGAGTTGAGTAGTATCCTCTTTCAACCATGTTTCAGTAAGTATAATAAAAGAGAATTTGTTGTCAATAGCTTCAATCAAGGCACTAACATCATCGAAGTGTTTACCTAGGGATCTAACGTTCAAATTGATTACAGAGATATTGTGATTATGAGTTAATACATTGTTTACATCATGTGCTGCAAAATATCTGCAATTTAGATCATTAAAGTGCTTATTGTCATAGATAGTGGATAAGAGGTTAAGTTCTGGGTCTATACTTGACTGCATAAAAAAAGCTGATTGTAGGAAAAAAAAAAAAAAATTACACAATACTGTACAAAACAAACACAAAAGGGGCTTACAGGGGTACAATGGAGTAAGGGAGTATGGCTAGGCTAGGAAACCTAGGTAATAAATGAGATTAAAGAAAAAATATATAAACATGGACTATACAAAACACAAGATATAGATATACAAAGCAAAAATATAAACAAGACTAAGCAATACAAAAACAAATTGAGCAAAAATGAAAAATGAGGTAGATTGCTTACAGGTACTCTCAGGTACACTGTAAGTAACAATAGACAGATAATATATATCAATATAGATAAGAATGTCACGATACAATAAGATAAGCAATTACAGGAACAGATGAAAAACAAATCTGTTGTAAAATAGAAAGTAATTATAGCAAAACACAACAATATAATATAACAATACAATAAGAGCTTACAAAGTATTGAGTCTGCTAAAATAGAGAATAATTATGGCAAGACACAACAATAAATGCAAGTAAACAAAAGAATTGAAACAATTAGAGGTAGAATTAAGGTCACTAGATAGCCATGGAGGATACACAAGTTTGGCGGAGAGAACAAAAAAACAGTAGAGACTGTCAAGATGAATATATAAAAAAATTTGACAAATGATAATTGTAAAGTAAAAAATTCTTAAAGATAATAAATTTTATTAAGCTTAGTTTTAACTTATAATTAGTATGAACTTAATTAAAAGAACAAAAATGAGATCAATAATTGATTTCAATAAATGACATAGATCAATACAAATAAATTTAAAATATAAATGGAATAGGGTAAGATTAGATTTAAGAGTGATTTAGATTAATTAGATTTAAGGTCTGGATCATCAACATGAAAGTTGATGACCCAGACCGCTTCTTTATGAATGACATTCAAGCTGCAGATAATATAACGGATATTAACACAAACTCGGAAGACTTTGAAAGAGAAATTGACAATATGCCCATGCACTTAGCTCCTGGGCCGGACTCGTGGAGTTCAATATTCATTAAGAAATGTAAAGTACCAGTAGCGCAAGCGCTCAGCATAATATGGAGAAAGAGCCTGGATACAGGGGAGATACTAGCTGCACTTAAATCAGCAGATATAGCTCCACTGCACAAAGGGGGGGGGGGGGTAATAATAACTTAAAAATTATAGACCAGTTGCACTAACATATCACATAATAAAAGTTTTTGAAAGTGATTAGGAATAAACTTTTTAGTTTTATGGATAATAGTGAACTACAGAACCCAGGACAACATGGATTTAGAGCGGGAAGATCCAGTCTATCACAGTTACTCAACCACTATGACAAAATCACAAAAGTTCTGGAAGAAAAGCAAAATACAGATGTATTATACACAGACTTTGCAAAGGCATTCGACAAATGTGATCATGGATGATGACACACAAAATGAGGTCAATGGGAATAGCTGGTAAAGTAGGACGCTGGATACTCAATTTCCTGTCGAACAGAACACAAAGAGTAACAGTCAATCAAATAAAATCGAGCTCAAGCGCAGTTAAAAGCCGTGTACCTCAAGGTATAGTCCTTGCACCACTGCTTTTCCTTATTCTCATATCAGATATAGATAAAAATACAAGTCACAGCTTCGTGTCATCCTTTGCAGATGACACGAAAATCAGCATGAAAATTACCTCTGCTGGAGACATTGAACAACTACAAAAGCAGATATCAACAAAGTTTTCGATTGGGCAACAGAAAATAACATGATGTTTAACAGTGATAAATTCCAGGTACTTAGGTACGGCAAAAATGAGGATCTGAAACATAATACAGGGTTCAAAACACAATCGAATCCGCCCATAGTAGGAAAACAGCATGTTAAGGATTTGGGAATAATGATGTCCGACAACCTAACGTTTAGTAAGCATAACCAAGCAAATATTGCGGAAGCCAGAAAAATGATCGGATGGATAACGAGAACTTTCAAATCCAGGGATCCCATCACAATGGTTGTACTCTTCAAGTCACTTGTGTTGTGCTGTCTAGAGTACTGATCAGTACTCTAGACGTCACAACACAAGTGACACCGTCACTTCCCCCTTCAGAGCAGGAGAGGTTGCTAAAACAGAGGGAATACAGACAACATATACGGCACGCATAGACGCGATAAAGCACCTAAATTATTAGGATCGTCTCAAAGCCCACCAAATGTACTCACTAGAAAGGAGACGAGAGAGATACCAAACAATATACACATGGAAAATACTGGAGAGCCAGGGCCCAAATCTACACAGTAAAATAACAACGTACTGGAGTGAACGATATGGAAGAAAATGCAGAAAATAACCAGTGAAGAGCAGAGGTGCCATAGGCACAATCAGAGAACACTGCATAAACATCAGAGGTCCGCGGTTGTTCAACGTCCTCCCAGCGAGCGTAAGAAAAAATTGCCGGAACAACTGTGAACATCTTCAAGAGGAAACTTGATTGTTTCCTCCAAAGAGTGCCGGACCAACCGGGCTGCGTTGGGTATGTGGGCCTCAACCCGTTCTCGCAAATTCGTAAAGTCAATATTGACTTATTAACTACGTGCATAGGTGATATACTAAACATAATAGATACCCTTAAAAAGATTCATAGAAAGCACCGACCTTACCTAACCTTGTTAGTATCTTAAGATAAGCATCTTATTGCTTCGTAATTACAATTATTACTTAACCTGTACCTATTATAGGTTAGGTAATAATTGTAATTACGAAGCAATAAGATGCTTATCTTAACATACTAAGTAGGTTAGGTAAGGTCGGTGTTTTCTATGAATCTTTTTAAGGGTATCTATTATGTTAAGTATGTCACATATGCACATATTTAATAAGTCATTATTGACTTATTAAATTTGCGAGAACGGGTTGGGGCCTGAGGGCCGCTCCAAGCAGCAGACTAGTGGACCACACTCTCACAAGTTAAGCCTGGCCAAGGGCCGGGCTTGGGGAGTAGAAGAACTCCCAGAACCCCATCAAGCAGGTGTTCCCACACAACTTACACTGCCGGGCCAAGTGACCACCGTCACCACACAACTTACACTGCCGGGCCAAGTGACTACCGTCACCACACAACTTACACCTACACCTTTGTCCGTCACGGTCGTCCCAGCTCGTGTTTACCTGCAGTATGCCGCCTTCCCCGGGACCACCCTCTACCCGTACCCTGGTGGTGGTGGTACTTGCCTGTCGTTCCCTTAGCACATGCCCCCCCCCCCTGTGTAGGGCAGGAGTGAAGCCGCCTTCACATGCCCCTGACTGTAACCTCCCCACTGCCCACTGCTACCCTTGTGGGGCCACCACTTGCCACTTGACTGTAACCTCTCCACTGGTAATCTGGGGGACATGTTCATCATTGTTGAATGTGTGGTCATGTTCTTCACTGTTAAATGCGTGGTCATGTTCATCTCTGTTGAATGTGTAATCCCGTACAGGAAGCAACCTGTCTACATATAAGGCCATGGCTGAATGACAACATATAAGGCCATAGCTGAATGTCAACATATAAGGCCATGGCTGAATGTCAACATATAAGGCCATGGCTGAATGTCAACATATAAGGCCATGGCTGAATGTCAACATATAAGGCCATGGCTGAATGTCAACATATAAGGCCATGGCTGAATGACAACATATAAGGCCATGGCTGAATGTCAACATATAAGGCCATGGCTGAATGTCAACATATAAGGCCATGGCTGAATGACAACATATAAGGCCATGGCTGAATGACAACATATAAGGCCATGGCTGAATGACAACATATAAGGCCATGGCTGAATGTCAACATATAAGGCCATGGCTGAATGACAACATATAAGGCCATGGCTGAATGACAACATATAAGGCCATGGCTGAATGACAACATATAAGGCCATGGCTGAATGTCAACATATAAGGCCATGGCTGAATGACAACATATAAGGCCATAGCTGAATATCAACATATAAGGTCATTGCTGAATGACAACATATAAGCCATGGCTGAATAAGTCCACTATATGACTGCTGCATAATACCTGTAGTTGTCTTAGTTTCTTATGAGTGGTTCATATCTTTGCTTTTCTCTTCCATCGTTTCAGTGGAACACACCAATGATATGTTTATACAGAGCAGGTTATATTCTGTACGTGTGTCCCAGGTGTTATATGCTCTAAGATTTTGGCAGAATTGACGTCATGGGTGGACGAGCTCAACATTTACGAAAGCAGGCGATGAGTCACAATAACGGATATGAAGATATAATGACCAAACCACACATATCAGATGATGAAGAGACGACGACGGTTCGACATTATCATATCGTGCGATAGAAGAGAGGAAGGTAAAGACAAATATGTGTCTCTACCTTCCTCTCTTCTCGCACTCTCTTCTGTGTGGTTTGATCATCTTACGGAATCACAATTATTTTATGCCATGTACTATAGTGATTAATTGAGCATGAAGGATATAATGCTTACGTTCAGGTGGATGGCGAGGACGCCGTCCTCCTCCCAGGAGGAGATCTCAATATAAGCGGTTCCGTCGGCGGCCACCGTTACTGACTTGCCAGTACACTCATCGCCGCTCTTGGAGCCCGAGATCACGTCACAGTATTTCCCAGCAGATAGGCAGGTCTGGAGGAGGGATAAGCATTGTTCTAAGATTCCTTCACCACAACTTCACCAGGAAAGCAATACACCTTATTTACCTGGGGGCCATAATTGCCTCGGCTTGTACAGAGGTTCGAGGCTTCACAAAGTTCACCCCCATTTTCCAAAAGAAGTTTTCCAGCTAAATTTGGAACTGAAATAATATCTAGGTATCTCTGTTTTCGGCGGGTAGGAGGCTCCATGGGTTTATGGACGAAAAATCATGTGTGTTTTGCAGCGGCCTGATTTTGCATGATCATCAGGTAGATGATCATGTCCTGAAACAGCTCAGCCGTCAGCAGTTCCGTGTTAAAATTATTCAGGATACACCTCAAAATATTATTTAACTCATAGTTATGGAAATTCAATTTACAACTATCTAACCTGCAGGGTTTCCATGAGGTCCCAGTCGTCGTTGTTGATAGCGATGAAGCCCTTGTTGCCTCTGCAAAAGGCGATTTGGTTGCTGTCGTTGTCCCACCAATCGTTCATATCAGTGCCTGTGGGAACGTAAACACAGAGACACGCTAGGATCTTCTGGGTAATGATTTAGTGCACCAATCCTGGGAGAAAGTGACTATAAAGTTACGGTTTGCTTGTGGGATGAGAGTGCAGAGCTCCTTCAACATAGAGCAATAGAGGGTGTGAATTGCTTCACATATAGAGGAAGATGACGTAAAACTGAGTCAACATGTGGGATAATGATATAGTAGTGGGTCAATATGGGAAGGTAATATAGTAGTGGGTCAATATGGGAAGGTAATATAGTAGTGGGTCAATATGGGAAGGTAATATAGTAGTGGGTCAATATGGGAAGGTAATATAGTAGTGGGTCAATATGGGAAGGTAATGTAGTAGTGGGTCAATATGGGAAGGTAATGTAGTAGTGGGTCAATATGGGAAGGTAATGTAGTAGTGGGTCAATATGGGAAGGTAATGTAGTAGTGGGTCAATATGGGAAGGTAATGTAGTAGTGGGTCAATATGGGAAGGTAATGTAGTAGTGGGTCAATATGGGAAGGTAATGTAGTAGTGGGTCAATATGGGAAGGTAATGTAGTAGTGGGTCAATATGGGAAGGTAATGTAGTAGTGGGTCAATATGGGAAGGTAATGTAGTAGTGGGTCAATATGGGAAGGTAATGTAGTAGTGGGTCAATATGGGAAGGTAATATAGTAGTGGGTCAATATGGGAAGGTAATGTAGTAGTGGGTCAATATGGGACGGTAATATAGTAGTGGGTCAATATGGGACGGTAATATAGTAGTGGGTCAATATGGGACGGTAATATAGTAGTGGGTCAATATGGGACGGTAATATAGTAGTGGGTCAATATGGGACGGTAATATAGTAGTGGGTCAATATGGGACGGTAATATAGTAGTGGGTCAATATGGGAAGGTAATGTAGTAGTGGAAATAAGATGAAGGCTCATATTAACGCCCAAAAGGAAAGGGAAACATTTCCTAACAAAGGGATGAGTGAGGTAACATGAGGAGCAAGACTCACGGGATGAGTGAGGTAACATGAGGGGCAAGACTCACGGGATGAGTGAGGTAACATGTGGGGCAAGACTCACGGGATGAGTGAGGTAACATGCGGGGCAAGACTCACGGGATGAGTGAGGTAACATGAGGGGCAAGACTCACGGGATGAGTGAGGTAACATGTGGGGCAAGACTCACGGGATGAGTGAGGTAACATGAGGGGCAAGACTCACGGGATGAGTGAGGTAACATGAGGGGCAAGACTCACGGGATGAGTGAGGTAACATGAGGGGCAAGACTCACGGGATGAGTGAGGTAACATGAGGGGCAAGACTCACGGGATGAGTGAGGTAACATGAGGGGCAAGACTCACGGGATGAGTGAGGTAACATGAGGGGCAAGACTCACGGGATGAGTGAGGTAACATGTGGGGCAAGACTCACGGGATGAGTGAGGTAACATGTGGGGCAAGACTCACGGGATGAGTGAGGTAACATGAGGGGCAAGACTCACGGGATGAGTGAGGTAACATGTGGGGCAAGACTCACGGGATGAGTGAGGTAACATGTGGGGCAAGACTCACGGGATGAGTGAGGTAACATGAGGGGCAAGACTCACGGGATGAGTGAGGTAACATGAGGGGCAAGACTCACGGGATGAGTGAGGTAACATGTGGGGCAAGACTCACGGGATGAGTGAGGTAACATGAGGGGCAAGACTCACGGGATGAGTGAGGTAACATGTGGGGCAAGACTCACGGGATGAGTGAGGTAACATGTGGGGCAAGACTCACGGGATGAGTGAGGTAACATGTGGGGCAAGACTCACGGGATGAGTGAGGTAACATGAGGGGCAAGACTCACGGGATGAGTGAGGTAACATGAGGGGCAAGACTCACGGGATGAGTGAGGTAACATGCTGGGCAAGACTCACGGGATGAGTGAGGTAACATGCGGGGCAAGACTCATGGGATGAGTGAGGTAACATGTGGGGCAAGACTCACGGGATGAGTGAGGTAACATGAGGAGCAAGACTCACGGGATGAGTGAGGTAACATGTGGGGCAAGACTCATGGGATGAGTGAGGTAACATGAGGGGCAAGACTCACGGGATGAGTGAGGTAACATGAGGGGCAAGACTCACGGGATGAGTGAGGTAACATGCGGGGCAAGACTCACGGGATGAGTGAGGTAACATGAGGGGCAAGACTCACGGGATGAGTGAGGTAACATGAGGGGCAAGACTCACGGGATGAGTGAGGTAACATGTGGGGCAAGACTCATGGGATGAGTGAGATAACATGAGGGGCAAGACTCACGGGATGAGTGAGGTAACATGTGGGGCAAGACTCACGGGATGAGTGAGGTAACATGAGGGGCAAGACTCACGGGATGAGTGAGGTAACATGAGGGGCAAGACTCACGGGATGAGTGAGGTAACATGCGGGGCAAGACTCATGGGATGAGTGAGGTAACATGAGGGGCAAGACTCACGGGATGAGTGAGGTAACATGTGGGGCAAGACTCACGGGATGAGTGAGGTAACATGCGGGGCAAGACTCACGGGATGAGTGAGGTAACATGTGGGGCAAGACTCACGGGATGAGTGAGGTAACATGTGGGGCAAGACTCACGGGATGAGTGAGGTAACATGTGGGGCAAGACTCACGGGATGAGTGAGGTAACATGTGGGGCAAGACTCATGGGATGAGTGAGGTAACATGAGGGGCAATGAGTGAGGTAACATGAGGGGCAAGACTCACGGGATGAGTGAGGTAACATGTGGGGCAAGACTCACGGGATGAGTGAGGTAACATGAGGGGCAAGACTCACGGGATGAGTGAGGTAACATGAGGGGCAAGACTCACGGGATGAGTGAGGTAACATGAGGGGCAAGACTCACGGGATGAGTGAGGTAACATGAGGGGCAAGACTCACGGGATGAGTGAGGTAACATGAGGGGCAAGACTCACGGGATGAGTGAGGTAACATGTGGGGCAAGACTCACGGGATGAGTGAGGTAACATGAGGGGCAAGACTCACGGGATGAGTGAGGTAACATGTGGGGCAAGACTCACGGGATGAGTGAGGTAACATGTGGGGCAAGACTCACGGGATGAGTGAGGTAACATGAGGGGCAAGACTCACGGGATGAGTGAGGTAACATGAGGGGCAAGACTCACGGGATGAGTGAGGTAACATGTGGGGCAAGACTCACGGGATGAGTGAGGTAACATGAGGGGCAAGACTCACGGGATGAGTGAGGTAACATGAGGGGCAAGACTCACGGGATGAGTGAGGTAACATGTGGGGCAAGACTCACGGGATGAGTGAGGTAACATGAGGGGCAAGACTCACGGGATGAGTGAGGTAACATGAGGGGCAAGACTCACGGGATGAGTGAGGTAACATGAGGGGCAAGACTCACGGGATGAGTGAGGTAACATGAGGGGCAAGACTCACGGGATGAGTGAGGTAACATGAGGGGCAAGACTCACGGGATGAGTGAGGTAACATGCGGGGCAAGACTCACGGGATGAGTGAGGTAACATGTGGGGCAAGACTCACGGGATGAGTGAGGTAACATGAGGGGCAAGACTCATGGGATGAGTGAGGTAACATGTGGGGCAAGACTCACGGGATGAGTGAGGTAACATGAGGGGCAAGACTCACGGGATGAGTGAGGTAACATGAGGGGCAAGACTCACGGGATGAGTGAGGTAACATGAGGGGCAAGACTCACGGGATGAGTGAGGTAACATGTGGGGCAAGACTCACGGGATGAGTGAGGTAACATGAGGGGCAAGACTCATGGGATGAGTGAGGTAACATGTGGGGCAAGACTCACGGGATGAGTGAGGTAACATGTGGGGCAAGACTCACGAGATGAGTGAGGTAACATGTGGGGCAAGACTCATGGGATGAGTGAGGTAACATGAGGGGCAAGACTCACGGGATGAGTGAGGTAACATGAAGGGCAAGACTCACGGGATGAGTGAGGTAACATGCTGGGCAAGACTCACGGGATGAGTAAGGTAACATGCGAGGCAAGACTCATGGGATGAGTGAGGTAACATGTGGGGCAAGACTCACGGGATGAGTGAGGTAACATGAGGAGCAAGACTCATGGGATGAGTGAGGTAACATGTGAGTGAGGGGCAAGACTCACGGGATGAGTGAGGTAACATGAGGGGCAAGACTCACGGGATGAGTGAGGTAACATGTGGGGCAAGACTCATGGGATGAGTGAGGTAACATGAGGGGCAAGACTCACGGGATGAGTGAGGTAACATGCGGGGCAAGACTTATGGGATGAGTGAGGTAACATGAGGGGCAAGACTCACGGGATGAGTGAGGTAACATGAGGGGCAAGACTCACGGGATGAGTGAGGTAACATGCGGAGCAAGACTCATGGGATGAGTGAGGTAACATGAGGGGCAAGACTCACGGGATGAGTGAGGTAACATGTGAGGCAAGACTCATGGGATGAGTGAGGTAACATGCGGGGCAAGACTCACGGGATGAGTGAGGTAACATGTGGGGCAAGACTCACGGGATGAGTGAGGTAACATGTGGGGAAAGACTCACGGGATGAGTGAGGTAACATGTGAGGCAAGACTCATGGGATGAGTGAGGTAACATGTGAGGCAAGACTCATGGGATGAGTGAGGTAACATGAGGGGCAAGACTCACGGGATGAGTGAGGTAACATGTGAGGCAAGACTCATGGGATGAGTGAGGTAACATGCGGGGCAAGACTCACGGGATGAGTGAGGTAACATGCGGGGCAAGACTCACGGGATGAGTGAGGTAACATGAGGGGCAAGACTCACGGGATGAGTGAGGTAACATGTGTGAGGGGATGATTCACCAGCTCACTTACAATTGTGTTCTTCTGCCTGTGGCAGCCAGTACACTTGCTAAGTGCACTTGTTAAGTGCGCGGACTTAAGTTTGGTAACCAGTATCCGAATCATCTTGTGCTTGGGCTCATGTGAGAGCCCCAGTCATCAGCATTCCAGATGTTACCCTGGCCGGGGTAGCACGTCTGTGGACAGAGCTATAGCAATAGCATCTTTTACTGTGTAGAGTTGAGGGAGACCGAGATTTGGGCGGGAACAGCCAGGCCGCATGGTAGTGCGAGCTTGGGCTAACCGCCAGCCATTTGACTCGTCGTCATGGCAACAGCCGCCATCTTAAGCAAACATCTTGAGTTGACATGTTGGAACGGCCATCTTGGAGTGTCACGGAGCCCAGTGTTATTGTGTGTTATTTACTGTGGTGATTGCAACGTGCAGACCAGTGTTCTAAGTGGTAATTAGAGCACTGCGGTCATTTGCAACAGTAAGTGTTGGGCAGTGTACTAATATAGCTTGAATTAGTGCACATGCCGTGTGTGATGTTGCAAAGGGGTTGTCATTGATGGTGATTGTTGCTAGTGTTGATCAATCACCGGGGTGTGTTGTGCAGTTTAGTAAATCATTGTGGAGTCGTGTTCTAGGGATGTTGTTGTTGTTAAAGATTCGCTACCTGGAACAAAAAGTTCCAAGTAACACGGGCTGGTGAGCCCGTAGATAGTTATACGGTTCTAGGGAGTTCATGTCCTGAGGCTTATATACTGGGTTTCTGCAGTATTGTCAATGCAACCGGATTGTAACGTAAATCACTCTGATTTGTCATTGTCGTGGGTGAACTCGGCTGAAGACGAGTACTTGGGTTTTATATTCTCCTGTTTATCTGGTAGGACATCGATGTCTAGTATTTAGTGAGGTGATTGCGAGGCAATTATTATAACGTAACCAAGGCAACACCCATTGCTTTAAGAGAATTTGTTCTTTGACAATTTGAGTAACGTAGAATACGTTTGGGTTAATTATTCTCCTGCACGCAGCTACGGTAGTCTCAGGGTAGCCTAACCATCAGCCAGTCAAGAATTTGAGTATTGCCTGTCGTAAATAACGGTCAGTGGGCCGGGTAATTGACGTGTTTCAGGAAGTCAAAGTAATTAACTTCGATCCGTGTTGATCGACTCACACGAAGGCTCCATTGTTCCATTAACGTAACGTCGTTATTTATCTGCCCGGAAGTACCGGCACTTGATTGACTCGTGGGAAGATTAACGTCATTTTAGAATAACGTAAACGTGGTGATTAGCGTCCTTAATCACCTGAATTGGTCTGAGTATGGAAGGCTCAGACGGAATTCATACCTTAATGTAAATTGCTGAGCCAGTGTGAAAGACTGCATATTTAATTGATTAATTATTGATCTTTAGGATAGTAATTAATTGCTCTGAGAGTAATCACGAGTGATTACCGTTCTCTTAGCACTTCGGACATTGTAAAATCAGAGTTTACCATCGTTGAGTGATAGTAACCGATAACGTAAATTAACGTAACTAGTACAGAGATTAATCAGCTGTCTGGAAGTGCAGGGATTAATGGGATTTACTCACTGAATGCTCGACAAGTAGAGTGTTTACGTTATTTCCGCGTTATTAGTGACAGTTGTAAGTTATTAAATTAACGTATATGTTACTTTGTTATTATCGTAAATCAATTGTTATTGATTGTTGATCGTCCATGGGACGGAGTGTTAAGATTAATTTTAGGAAGGGTTGCTGGTGTTGCCAGTGAACCCATTAGTCATTGATGTGTCATTGACAGGCTACTGATTTGATTGTATTGCAACCGCTATTGCAGGTGTAGGCTGCAAGGAGCGTAGGGAACGGATAGGAGGTTCTTGAAGACGTTTCTCATAGCCTACCGTGTCAATTGTTGTATTTGTGATTAGAGATTAGATTTTCTTGCTTGATTGGTTCCTCTGTGTTTACACCGTATGTTCGAGTTAGTTCATTATGCAGTCCGAGGGGCTGGTGTCTAGCTCTCATTGATAGTGTCTCAGGAAGGATTTCGAGTAATGGCATTGATATTTCTTTTGTTTTGTTGTAGTAGTTAGTACTTTATTGAATAAACTAAGTTATGTTGAACAGTCTTTTCGTTACACCCCACACATTTATATTGCTCTGTAAGTGTACTGTCACACTCGACAATTAAATTGAGACTGATTCTTGAGTTTTGGACTAAACATATGGCCCCACACAACAATAAAGTATTGGTGTGAGAGCACAGGACCTACTCGCTAGATTCGCTCCGGCGATTGGGGAAGGTCAATGGCCTAAGTGGAGGGGATTTCAACTTTTGGAGTCTCGGCGCTTGCTCGCGCCTAGTCAATTGTTCTTATACGGTCTCAGAGTGAGGAATGAACGGCTAACTACACTGGTGTGTTAGCTAAGCAAGTTCTTCCTCAGGCGACTTAATTGAATATCACGACAGGAGTAAAGGTTAAAAGAATTAAAGAAATTTTTTCAAAATTTTCGGAGTTCAATTCCTTACCATTCCATATTCCATTTTCTAAACTCTCACAACACGGGATGAGTGAGGTAACACGAGGGGCAAGACTCGCGGAGGAGTAAAGCAACACGAGGGGCAAGACTCACGGGTGAGTAAAGCAACACGAGGGGCAAGACTCACGGGTGAGTAAAGCAACACGAGGGGCAAGACTCACGGGTGAGTAAAGCAACACGAGGGGCAAGACTTACGGGTGAGTAAAGGAACACGAGGGACAAGACTCACGGGTGAGTAAAGCAACACGAGGGACAAGACTCACGGGTGAGTAAAGCAACACGAGGGACAAGACTCACGGGTGAGTAAAGCAACACGAGGGACAAGACTCACGGGTGAGTAAAGCAACACGAGGGACAAGACTCACGGGTGAGTAAAGCAACACGAGGGACAAGACTCACGGGTGAGTAAAGCAACACGAGGGACAAGACTCACGGGTGAGTAAAGCAACACGAGGGACAAGACTCACGGGTGAGTAAAGCAACACGAGGGACAAGACTCACGGGTGAGTAAAGCAACACGAGGGACAAGACTCACGGGTGAGTAAAGCAACACGAGGGACAAGACTCACGGGTGAGTAAAGCAACACGAGGGACAAGACTCACGGGTGAGTAAAGCAACACGAGGGACAAGACTCACGGGTGAGTAAAGCAACACGAGGGACAAGACTCACGGGTGAGTAAAGCAACACGAGGGACAAGACTCACGGGTGAGTAAAGCAACACGAGGGACAAGACTCACGGGTGAGTAAAGCAACACGAGGGACAAGACTCACGGGTGAGTAAAGGAAGACGAGGGGCAAGACTCACGGGTGAGTAAAGCAACACGAGGGACAAGACTCACGGGTGAGTAAAGCAACACGAGGGACAAGACTCACGGGTGAGTAAAGCAACACGAGGGACAAGACTCACGGGTGAGTAAAGGAAGACGAGGGGCAAGACTCACGGGTGAGTAAAGGAAGACGAGGGGCAAGACTCACGGGTGAGTAAAGCAACACGAGGGACAAGACTCACGGAGGAGTAAAGGAACACGAGGGACAAGACTCACGGGTGAGTAAAGGAACACGAGGGGCAAGACTCACGGGTGAGTAAAGGAACACGAGGGGCAAGACTCACGGGTGAGTAAAGCAACACGAGGGACAAGACTCACGGGTGAGTAAAGGAAGACGAGGGGCAAGACTCACGGGTGAGTAAAGCAACACGAGGGACAAGACTCACGGGTGAGTAAAGGAAGACGAGGGGCAAGACTCACGGGTGAGTAAAGCAACACGAGGGACAAGACTCACAGTGGAGTAAAGGAACACGAGGGACAAGACTCACGGGTGAGTAAAGGAACACGAGGGGCAAGACTCACGGGTGAGTAAAGGAAGACGAGGGGCAAAACTCACGGGTGAGTAAAGGAAGACGAGGGGCAAGACTCACGGGTGAGTAAAGGAAGACGAGGGGCAAGACTCACCGTTTACCACATTACGGAAGGCGACCATGTTGTAGATCTGTCTCCAGCGGTGCTCACAGACCCACCCGTTCCCGCAGCTGCCGTCGGGGCCGAAGGTGGGGCCGACGGTGTTGTAACTGTCGTCGTGCGGAGGACCCACCCAGTCGTTCTCGTCGTGGCCGTTTACATACTTCTGGTCCCAGTAGTAAGACGACATCACGCGAGTAAGTTCATAAGGCCAGGCAAGCATGAAGGCATTGGCCATCTATGGTGACAGAAATTATTGCTTGCTAAAACTTATAGAATGAAAAGCATAAGAATCAATAATATTACTGTTATGATGTTGTGGCGGGGTAGTTGTCACACATGGCCTCACACCTGTGGGATAGTTATCACACATGGCTTCACTTCTTCCTAGGGGCCTCGTAGCCTGGTGGATAGCGCGCAGGATTCGTAATTCTGTGGCGCGGGTTCGATTCCCGCACGAGGCCGAAGCAAATGGGCAAAGTTTCTTTCACCCTGAATGCCCCTGTTACCTAGCAGTAAATAGGTACCTGGGAGTTAGTCAGCTGTCACGGGCTGCTTCCTGGTGTGTGTGTGTGTGTGTGTGGTGTGGAGAGAGAGAGAGAGAGAAAAAAAAAGTAGTTAGTAAACAGTTGATTGACAGTTGAGAGGCGGGCCGAAAGAGCAAAGCTCAACCCCCGTAAAAACACAACTAGTAAACATCTGGTGGTGTAGTTATCACACATGGCTTCACACGTGGTGGGGTAGTTATCACACATGGCTTCACACGTGGTGGGGTAGTTATCACACATGGCTTCACACGTGGTGGGGTAGTTATCACACATGGCTTCACACGTGGTGGGGTAGTTATCACACATGGCTTCACACCTGGTGGGGTAGTTATCACACGTTGCTTCACACCTGGTGGGGTAGTTATCACACATGGCTTCACACCTGGTGGGGGTAGTTATCACACATGGCTTCACACCTGGTGGGGTAGTTATCACACATGGCTTCACACCTGGTGGGGGTAGTTATCACACATGGCTTCACACCTGGTGGGGTAGTTATCACACATGGCTTCACACCTGGTGCCGTTGTCGGTTCACCAAGGACAATGTTATATTTCAATTAGGATTAAGGTACTTTTGTTAGCATAGAACATATATCTTGTATCGCAAGTGGGTACATATAGAACATTCCTCGCCAAATAGTGACAAAATTCATTCGTGCGACTTTTGATTCTTGACACTAAAGCCTGCGAATGCTTGGCCTTTTGGAAACTTGGGTAGTTTCATGACCAGACTGATTCCAGGTATTTGGCACCTTACATAAGAAGAGTCGAGGTTCGGCCTATATTCCCTAGGGGGGAAATGGGGAAATACAACCCATCCTCCTGTTTAGATAGTATATTTTGTAACTATGAGGACCATAGTACATAGATTGACGTACTAAGGAATTAGATAGTAGAAATTGGTACTATTCACTTCATAGAGTCCAAAAAAAAGAAGCTAAAAACAAACTTAAATATTCTTAGTTGTAGCACACATTTGTACTATATTAGGCCTCAGATAGCGTGTATTAGGCCTAGCAAGGTAAGGTTAGTTTGTCCTTGCAACATAAATGTAAAATCTTTTCCCGTTTGTCCAAATTCAGTAGTACCGATTTCTACTGCCCAATTGGGTAGTACGTCGGTATATTTAGTATGGTCCTAAGTAATACCAAAAGAGGAGGATGGGATGTAAGTTAGGATAGAAGACGAGTGAAGAAGGCCGAGTACCAGCACCATTCTGACATACAATTATAGGTTAAAAATGGATTCGATAGATACATGAGGCAGATGGGAAGCTGATAGATGATCCCCGCCCGCCAAACACACACCGAAACTACGACGTTGGTACAACGTTCGAACAAGTTTTAACGCCTCCTAACCAGTTATAACAAGCAATATAGCAAGTTGTAACAACGTTCTAATACGTCATAAACACGTTAAGCCAAGATGTAACAACTTTATTACAAGTTGTAACAAGCGGAAAATAGAGACAGTTACGGTTTGTGTTTCCAGGGCGCTGAGGAGAGGCGCGCCTAGGTGACTTCTACCATTTTCATGTGTTCATCACCCAGGTGACTCCTGCTATGTTCATGTGTTCATCACCCAGGTGACTCCTGCTGTGTTCATGTGTTCATCACCCAGGTGACTCCTGCTATGTTCATGTGTTCATCACCCAGGTGACTCCTGCTTTGTTCATGTGAGTATCGGGATGGCGGCTTAGCGAGGATTTTTTTCCCCTGAAAATAGACGTCTGAGCGTCCGCTTTTTGTTTTTTGGAAAAAGGAGAAAAAGGAGATGCTCAGACGTCAAAAGTTCCAGAAAAATTTTGCCAGTGTTCGATTCGCCGTCAGGGTTTCCAGGTAAAAAAATTCAGAGTATTTCCCTCTCTGCCATACTCGTTTAAGATCAAAATTATTTCAGACATAATATAACCAGAAAAGTTTCTTGAAAAATCTTAAGGGGGAAATTCTATTTTTTTCAGAGTACAGTTTTATGAAAATATTTCAGAGTTCCTATGATCATAAAAGTTTTTAAGGAGTCTAAGACAAAAAAATTTCAAAGGACCAATTTCAGAGAATAAGTTCTTAGAAGTTTGTTAAGGAAAATAGCCATCGTAGCAGTAACTTTTAGTTTTATATCCATTTACTGCTGTTTCACCAAATTTCTTCAGAGTCCAGTTGAAGACCGAAATCATTTCTCCAGACCTATGGAGTTCAGTTTAAGACCGAAATTCAACAGAGACCATTTAAAGACCGAAAGACCATTTTAAGACCGAAATTTGGCAGAGACCAAATGAAGACCAAAATGTGACTAAGACCATTTTAAGACCGAATTTTTCCAGAGTCCTCTTTTAAGATTGAAATCTCTCAATGACCATTTTAAGACCGAAATTTGGCAGAGTACATTTTTTGACCAAAATTAGTCAGTCTTGTTCATTATAAAAAAAAGTCAGAGTCTCGTTCAAAGTAAAAAATTAGAGTCTCATTCAATGTCAAAAGTTAGTCAGAGTGTCATTCAAGGTCAAATATATTTAGTCTCATTTTGTTTCAGCTGCCTCACATGAATTAAGACTGAATTTTGTCATAGTTTAATCCTTACTGAGTTCTTAAGAGTGCTTATGGATATACTTAATGAGCAGATATTTTTTAAAAGTTCATCAGATATTAGCTCTTGGACCCCAGCTCTGTACGTTTATAAGTGTAGTTCCACTATTAACCAATCAATTTCCCTGAAATTTAAAACCATTGTATTTCAGACGTAGAAAACTAAATCAAAAGCAATTACCGAGTTCTACCTCCAGTCCTGGTTTTAGTAGCCTCTGGTATCTTCTTTAATAACCGATCAATTCCCCTAAAATTTAAAACCGTTGCATTTCGTACTCGGTAAACACGAGTTACTGAACCTAAGTAACTTAGTAACCTAGTTACTGTTACTTAGGATCAAGTCAGTTACTGAGCTCCAGCTCCTGTCCCCCCTCTTAGTTCCCTCATGCATTTTCTTTAGTATCTAATCAATTTTCTTGAGATTTAAACAGTAATTATTTCAGATGTAGTAAATATGTCAAACACAGTTGCCGAACTCCGGCTCTTGTCTTCCGCCTTAGCTAACTCCCGCAGATACAATGCTATCAGCCCAAGTTCCCTGAAATTTAAACCCATTACATTTCGTATGTAATCAAATAAATCAAGATATTAACCAAGTTGCATTTCATGTCCACCGCCTTAGTTCAATGTTCATCAAACCTAGTATTCCAGAACAAGTAAGTAACTCTCATCCCTTCCCCTATCTTAACAAAGTAAGCATATCCTCTCCTTCAATACCCTTTGTTTACTCAGCTATGTAAATAATCACTAACGAGCTAATAATCACACGGTCATATACACCTTATCTCTATTACCCCGTGCCCGTCTTCTCACTTATCTCCCTCCACTTCCCCCCTCACCCCCATATCCCCCCATGGGGGGAGCCGGTCGGCCGAGGGGACAGCACACTGGACTTGTGATCCTGTGGTCCTGGGTTCGATCCCAGGCGCCGGCGAGAAACAATGGGCAGAGTTTCTTTCACCCTATGTCCCTGTTACCTAGCAGTAAAATAGGTACCTGGGTGTTAGTCAGCTGTCACGGGCTGCTTCCTGGGGGGTGGAGGCCTGGTCGAGGACCGGGCCGCGGGGACACTAAAGCCCCGAAATCATCTCAAGATAACCAGGAAGAACCCTCCACACCTTACTCCTTCCATTCCTCCCTCTCTCCCCTCCATTCCCCGCCCTCCCCCCCCCGTCCTCTCTCATATTTCCATCACCCCTTATCTCCCCCTCCCTTACCTCCCAACACCCTTATCTCCCCCTCCCTTACCTCCCAACACCCTTATCTCCCCCTCCCTACCCCCTACTACCACCACATCTTACCCATTCCCCCATCTCATCCAAACCACCCTTCCTCCCCAGAATTTAAAAGTACAGCTAATAGCCAATAATGTTACTGTATTTGTGTATTCTTTCTATGTTCTCTGTCCAACTTTCATACTCATTATTCATGTTCTCTGCAAGTTCAGTTCATATTTTGAATTTTTTCTCTATGTGCTTCTCATTCCCTTCCATGTTTTATGTGTTTTTTGTCATGTTCTCAATGTTGTCATGTTCTTCACAAGTTCTTTGTTCATTCTTCGCATTCTGTATTCTTTGTCATATGCTCCATGTTCTCAGAATTTTCTTCACAACACTGTTCTTAAACAAATCTCCACTCTATACAGTAATAAATTTAACAAGGAATTCTCTTTTCTCGTTTATTAACTAAAATATTCGTCACTCAACAAAAAAATAGTCACGTTCATTATTTTTAACTAATAGTATTCGTCAATCAACTAAAAAATTGTCACATCATTTCTTAACTAAATTATTCGTCATTCAATTAAAAATAGCCACGTTCAGCATTTCTAATCTAAAATAACACTTCTCTCAACTGAAAATAGTCAAGTGTAGCGTTTTTCAACACTTTCTTAACTACCATTAGGTCTCATTCAACTTTAAAATAGGCAAGTACATTATCTTTTTATCATTTCTTGACTAAATCAACTCTCCAAAGCATCTTTGTTCATCGAATAATCCTCTCTCAGGTCATCTTTTTTCTCCCATAACAAGTTCAAAGATAGTAAGAATATTCACGCTATCAAAAGTCATTCTCAGAGTCATCAAAGTTAATCACTAAGTCACC